TTTGTCCTAGGGGCATTCATGGATATACAACTGGGATTCTAGCTCTTCCATCATCTCTAGAGAACAGTCATCCACTAAAGAGTTCTGCTTAATCTATGGGTATGGTCATCCTAGCTCTTGTAACACATGCTGAAAATATCAATTTTTTTTAAAACACCTAAAACCATTCTCATTAAACATAAAAAGAAAAATCAAACTATACAGGAAATATCACTACATAAAGTTGAAGATAGGAACTGCTTGTGAGTGAAGCAATGAAGTCTGACTACAATATGGAAACTGGAAATCAGAGGTTGAATTTTTAAAGTCTCCACTCTTTTCTTTAGCTAGTTCAGTCATTGCTTTATTATCTACCTTAAACATAATGTAAGGAATCCAAAGAGAAAACAGTTGACAACTGATCTGTCCTCTCAATGAACAGTGAATGTCAGTGGTTATGTCTACATGGGTATAAATCTCCACCTGATAAAAAGCAAACAACAAACCTCTGAATCAACATGAACTTTAATCATATTTCACTTCAATTGATTCCACATGTTGAGGCTAAGAAGAGCTGAACAAATCAACTATAACTTACCTTTTACTTAAAGTAAAAGGGTAACATTTTACTTTAAGTAATAGGGTAACATTTTAAAGACAAAAATTCTGAAATTTAGAAAAAGGGTTCTTTTACTGATTTCATTAAAAATCATTGGTGCTCTTGGCTGAATAAAGTTTCTTCTAACAAAGGTCGATGCTAAAGTTGCACCTTCTGTGGCTGCCTTTCTTACTTTTCATTTAAAATTATTCTTTGGCATTCCAAATATAGTCTTGATTTCTTTGTAGAATTCAGGTACAAAAACCATTCAACATCTTCACTAGATTTGTACTGTGGCTCAAAATAGGTTATTTACTAGATGTTTCAAAGTAGCTATGTAGTATGTATATACAATCTGTCAACATCATTTGGTACTTCCCCCAAATTTTCTATTAATATTACCTACAACGAGAAGTCTGGAAATATAGGTTTTTTTTCTTCACTCTCTTATTGTACCAATGCTCAGTGACAGATACTAGATTACTTACTCCCTTCATCGTTGAAGAAGTCATCATGTCCACCTATACATAGTCACTATTATTATAACTTCTTGGAAATGGTTCAAGATTAGTCTACTCCCAATAAATCAGCAAGTAAAATCTTTTTCTTTGGTGAATTCTTGTCTTTCAAAATGACTTGTGTATATTTTTAGTTATATCTTTCTTACATTATTAATTTTTTCATCTCAGGTCTTCCTTATGTTAAATCTCCGAACTTTTTGTTAAAACAATTTAATCCAAGTATATCTGATATGACCAGAATTGCATTAACTCTTCAGAAGAAGACAGTAAGTAAATTTTAGGTTAGCCTTATGAGGGAAGAAGGAAAAGGGCAGGCCTGAAGGCTGTATAGACGAAGAAAAGACTGGAGGTCAGACTAGCCTTGTATATAAAATCTTTTGATTTATTGTTGTATCCAAGAAACGACAGAACTAATCATAAATCTCATCAAAGGGATTAAGTGGCAGCAAATCTGTCAAGCTTGTGTTAAAATTTATGGGCCTTCATTTTCCATAGACCATTTTCTACTTCAAATGAATAATCTGTGACAGGATTAAGCCAGTTTCATATAAATAAAAGGCAGTTTTGAATATCTGAAATTCATTTGGACATAAAAATCTAATTTACATACTGACTGATATTTACATCATTTAAATAAACTAGAATGTTACAACTGCCTTTCCCTCAGGTTTGCCCTTATACTTTTATTCCTTGCCTCCCTTTTATCACTTCTGAGAACATCTTATTCCTCATATCACCTGATTG